GCAAATTTAATATAACAAACACTACAAACAAATATAGAATTCAATTAAAAATCTACATTTTTAAGTGTTGAGAGTGCATAAGTACCTGTAATCTACTTTGAAATGTATTAAAAGTGAGAATGGACAGAGGATGAAGAAGAGGGAAAGGGAACTTGGGTGCATTTCTCAAGGAGTAAAGCATTTGCCATGTGTTAGGACCAGAGTTTTGGTCCCTAGCACCCACCCAAATGCCGGGTGGGCAGTGTTAACACCTCTATTCCTAGCGCTTGAGAGACAGAGACAGCCGATCTTCAGAACAAGTTGGTCAGCTAGACTAGTCAAGATGGTGAACTCTCCGTGAGAGACCCTGACTTGATATATAAAGTGGAAGGGGATTGAGGAAGACAAGTGACATTTGGTCTCTATACACAGGCATGTGCATACCAACTAACACATATAGATATAATCATACATGTAAGCATGTATACATATATGCACATATACCATAAACATATAACACACGCACCAAAGAAATAAAAGAAGGAAGGAAGAAAGAAATGAAGGAAGGGAGGGAGAAAGGAAGGGAGGGAGGAAAGATGGAAGGAAGGAAGGAGGAAGGGAGGGAGGGAAGGAGAAAGGGGAGGAAGGAAGGAAGAAAGGGAAGATAAAGCAAGAGTAGTGACATGACCATAGCAAAGCCCAAATTATGCTTTCAATGTTGGCTTTAAAATTCTTCTAACTTTACTATAAGACTCTTAAAAAAATAATAATAACAAAAAGTTGAGACCGTGGGTCACAAGTAGAGTGAGGCCAGTATGATTTTACAGCGTGAGTTGGTAATTGCATGGCATAGGAATATGATCATAACTGAATGTAGGGAAGTGGGGACACAGAGAAGTGCAAGCTACTGTGAACTTCAGTGACCAGATCACCAGGAAAACACATGCATGTGCCATTGACTGAGACACACTTTGCAGCAGGTCCTGTCATAGGATTTTTATGGAGATTTTTATCCTCACAATCACTGCTGCATAGGAAATACTATCAGATCCATTTTACAGGGGAGAAACAAAAGTTCACCCTGGTTAAGTAGTAACCAGGATTAAGGAAGTTAGGTGAGATTAGACAAGAAAAGTTATTCTTATTTGGAGGTGAAAGTACATGGAGAGGATTTTTCCTAATTTTTCTGCATTTAAGGTACAAAATACAGTGTTTCTGTGAACTCTGTAAATGCTTTCTATTCAAGTAAATCAATTCATCTTTTAAAAATTATTTATTAATATTGGGGGACACACAACACATGTGGAGGTCAGAGGACAACTTTGTGGATTCCATTCTTCCCTTCCTTTACATGGGTCCTAGGGATTTAATTCAGGTTGCTAGGTTTGCAGTGCAAGGGTCTTTACCATTGAGTCGTCTCACCAGCCTTAATACATCCTTCCGTTCCCATTGTTCCCTACCCATACTCTTGGGTTTGTAGAGCAAATATATGAGATCTGCTCTCTTTTAGCAATTTCCAGTGTAGAGTACAGTGCGGTATTGTTCTCCGTATTAGCTGTGCTGGGTGCCAGATCACCAGGTTGACTCATTGTACACAGCTGCAGTGTTGTACTTTTTCAGCAACAACTTCCCACTTCCTCCAGTCCTGCCTTTCATGAACACCACTCGACCCTCTGTTCATATGTATTCCGTTTACGATGTATTAATCTCACAGCTCTGGGGATCAGACCACATGAACCTTGAGAAGCCTAACTCAGGTCCTGATGAATTAGAACCATCCACCCGTATCCACTGCTCCCTCTCCCCAGCCTCACCCTAGTCAACTGGTTTTTGGCAGCACATGTCAATGAGACTATGTACTAGTTTTCTTTATGCCCTTGCTCGTTGCACTTGGTGTGCTCAAGGTTCACCTACGTCATCACAGATGATAAGATAACCTGTTCTAAGGCTGATCAATATTCCATTACTGTTCCAATATACATTACATGTTCTCTGTCTATCTACCAAAGGACAGAGGTCTTTTGGTTATTGTGAATGAAGCTACAATGATCCTTCCAAGTTAGCTTCTAGGGTTTTGTGTTTTAATTCCAACAGCTTAGTATTTTCTGCTTTTTGAGGCCGCCATAAAGTTGTTTATTGATTTCTTTTCAGACCATTTGTTGCTAGTATGAAAAAAAACAATGCAGTTGAGCTTGTGTGTTGATTTTGTATTTTTCAATTTCAGTGAATTTGTCTGCTGATTCTAAGAACCATTTTAATACAGTTTTTGGGTTTTATTTTTAGCATATAAGATAATGTCATTTGAAAATGGAACCATTTTACTTTTTCTTCTTTTTGGATACCTATAATCCACCCTACCCACCTTGCTTTGGGTAGTATTTTCAGTACTATATTGAATAGAAATAATAAGAATGGCTTTGAGAGGAAAGGATGTCAGTTGCCCCCACCCATTGAATATGATGTTTTATCTGTGGTCTTTTCATAAATATCATTCATTATGTTGACGAAATTGCTTCTGTTTCTACTGTGTGGGTAGCATTTGTTTTGTGTGGTTATTTAACTTTGTCTAAGGCCTTCTGAGCCTGGAGAGTGAACTCAAGAGAGTGAGAGTTTTCATCTTTCATTCTGTCTGAGTGTGCTTCACACTGATGGATTTGCTTTGCATAATCGTGTCACATTCTAGGGGAAGGTTGCATGTGATCTTAGTGTCCGATCTTGATGGTCTGTTGAATTCAGTTTGCTAGTATTTTATGAAGTTTCGTGAGATGCTGGCATTCGGCAGGAGGCAGGATATATGGCTTTTAGAAAACACAAGGATAAAGTTGGAGATAAAGATTTAATGATCAGATAGACTCGGGGTTTGAGAGGTGACAATCTGAGAACTTAGAACGATAGCTGGACCGAGGTAGACAAATGTGACTTTGAAGGGAGGAGTTTAAAAGCGAAGAATACAGACACAGAATGCTGGATTAGGCCCACTGCTGGAATATGAGGGAAAGGGGGTACCAGTGAGTTACTGAGACCAGGGTTCGCTTTAGTGCTCACAAGGGGTGGAAAAAAAAAAAACAATGCACAATGGTAGTTGCAAGCCTGGGCCCTGTGGTGTCAATTAGCAGTTCCCACTACTGACTGCCCTGATCCAGGGGATCAATTTGCACTTGTGGTGGTCTGCCATCATTGCTCCATCCTGCAGCAGCTGCCCTCCTCCTTTTGTGTTTTTTTTCTTTAACCCTTCTTCCCAACAGCTTGGCTCCTGCCTGGGGTGGTTTCCAGCACAGTAGACAACACAGATATTAACAAGCGACTTGAGGTACTTTGAGGTTGTAGACTGCAGAAGTGGAAGCTGTCTGTGGCTCTCGGTTGAAGACCTGAACAGCTTTGCAGTCATGGCAGAAGTCCCTGCTGTTCTCTCAGGCTCAAGAGCACAGCATTGTTTCAATTCATCAACCACCTGATTAGCTACATAGGACCGCATTTTTGGTATATACCCATATCGTGCTTTTTTCATTTATGTGGTTCGATATTAAGTAGGGGGTAGAACAGGGTTGGTGTTTATATTTATAGGAAAAGAGATGGGAACTGAATCCAATGCTTTTGGAATTTTCTCAAAGCATTTACTGAATTCCCAGGTTGTCCTGAGATGGTGACTAGGAGTCATGTGACTTTTAATAGTTCCTTAATTTTGGTTAATGTTCCTTTTCTGCCTCCATCTTCCCTATTTCTTACCTCTCCCTTCCATAACATTTCTATCATCACTACTTTCAAGGGTCTCTTGCCTCTGTTTCCTGAATGCTGGAATTGCAGGTGTGTGCAGTTGTGTCTTGCTAAAAATAGTCTTTTGGGAGCTGATACTGTGGATGCAGAGAGGTTTAGTAATGCATAAACTTCTAGGCTCAATACCCAGTATAAAAATTATTTTTCATTCCAAAACTGATCTGATTAATATAAGACATAGCCTCCTCTCTTTGATCACATGCAAATTCTGTTTTTCTCTCTTCTTAAAATCTTTCCATAGAATTCATACATCGTTCCCTAGGATGAAGTCTTCATTGCAAAAATCTCAGAGAATTTGTCTCACCTTGTAAAGTACAGAGTTGAGTTTTATTGTACTTATTTAATATGCTAAGCCATATTAAATGGCATGGGTAGCATTGTCCAGTAACAATGATGTTTAGTCTTTTTAATGCTATATTTGTATCGGTATATGATACTAATATAATTATTAGTTGATTATCTCAGGTATTTTGCCACGGAAATGGAGAGGTGACTAGCACAAGTAGTCAAGGATTTCTAGAACTTGAGTGGAAAATGTCACAAACTGCTAATTCAAAATCAAGTCAAGGAAGAATCAACTGTCTGCAACTTCCTGAATGTATGCCAAATGATAATTTCATATGATTTTTGGCTTGAAACATTGGTGTCTCTTTAATGTGTTGTTCTCCAGATTCAAGGAAGCCTTTTCTCTTTTCTCTCTATTTTATCTATTTATAAAATGAATTTAATACTGTTTAGTCCAGATTGGCCTCTAACATACAGTCTTTCTGTTTGCTTCCTGACTCTGAGATTACATTACAGTTTTACAACATATACCTGGCAAATTGGATTATATTTACTGGAACTAAAGCAGCTTTGCAAACAGATACGTCTTACTATGATTGTACCTGGAGTTTTATGGTAGGTTCTGGCAGCCTTGGCAGGCTAGAATTGGCCACCCATACCAAGTTGATAATTAAGGTGAGCTGAGTGATGGTGAAGAGCAGGGAGAGAAGGTTTAAACAACACGCAGGGAAGAGACAAAGGGGACGCGTGACTCCAAGTTTGTCTTCAGGGATCTGATATGAATTGCAGGTTTAGAGGGGAAAATGGGGCAAGGAGGAAGAGGTCTGAATAATTAAGCAATCTGGTCAAGGTGCACTGATCATTGTCTCAGGTCTGATTCTGCTAGGTGGTCTGAGGATATCCTTATTGCTCTTATGGGCAGGACTTGTTCCCAGAATCCAACAAATGAGTCCAGGGTGCAGCCTCACCCTCATTGATAATGGTCTTCACAATGGAGTGGAGTTCTGCCCTACAAGGTTCTGCTCTTTCTGGAATCCAAGGTAACTACTTACTGCAGGTTTAGGACCAAGTTGTCCCTTTGTGTCTCCAGTTGCAAGGAGGATAAGCCAGGTTAGGAAGCCATGAATGGTCAGGCCTGTGCAGCATGGAGGAGGAGTTCAGAAAAAGCAGTTTCATGGTTGCCTTTGGTAGAAGTGAGGGCAATCATGACTATAGACAGTAAAATAACCTTTTAGCAGAGACCTATAGAACACTTTTCACTAGATTCTAGTGCTGTTTACCGTTGGGGGTGGGGTTGTTATAGAGCTGTAAGGTGGACTGGATCTTGCTTGAATTTCACTTTCCAATATATGTGTTAAGGCTTTAAAAAAGTTGGGTAGGAGACCACGGCGGGTCACTGCAGGTGGAAGTCTGGTCCCTCAGAGGGTGAGAGATGGATAGACACACCTTGCAGAGTTTGGGTATTTAGTGGGTTATGGAAGGGAAGGAGAAGAGAGAGAGGGAGAGAGAGAAACAGAGTGGGGGGAAAAGAGATGGAGAGATGTTGTAAGGAGACTGCTTGTTTGTTTCCCAGCTGCCCAGACTCCCAAAATAACAATACAGAAACTGCATTAATTAAATCACTGCTTGGCCAATTACTTAAGTGTATTGCTAGCTATCTCTTACATCTAGAATTAATCCATCTCCATTATTTTACATTTTATCACATTTTATATTTTATATTTTACCACAAGGTAAGGTCCAGTGTCTGTCTCTGGCAGGACTACATGGCTTCTCTTCTGACTCTACCTTCTTTCTCCCAGTATTCAGTTTAGTTTTCCATGTCTGGTTCTGTTCTACCCTATCAGGCCAAGTCAGTTCTTTATTAAAGAATGGTATTCACAGCATACAGAGGGGAATCTCACATCAGGGGAAGAGTAGAAAGATGGAGGGGAGAGAGCCCACATAGGCTAGAGGAAGATCCACTAGCCTGGCGAAGGGTGAGTGGGCAGGGCTTGTCTCTTAAAGGGACAGGATACACAGGTGATAGGACAGACCATTACAGTCATATCTCTTTCTTATAATAAGAAAGCAGGAAGTTAGGCACAAACAGGTTAAAGGAATTTGGACAGCAGATTCTCAAGACTGGTTCCTTCTTATTTGTGAGCGTCGTCTGGAGGGGGTGCTGAGAAGGCTGGGTGCTAGACACATCCTGGGGTAGCTGGTCTCCTTACTCCTGTCCAGGGTTTGTGCTATGAAAATGTCCAGTGTTTCTTAGTTCTATTTAAGGTACTGGCAGAACAGAGGACAAAGCTAAGTTTAGGAAGAATTTTTTTTTCTTTTTATGATCAGGGAATTGAGAAGGGTGTATCTTATCTGTTTAAGGTGGAACCTTTAATTCAGCTCCCTGGAACTCACAAATTATTTTTGGGTTTACAAAAACATAAGCTTTAAATAGCAGCATGTTTATACTAGAATGACTGTGACAGATATTTTTGCATAGTAAAATAGAAACTTTTGAAAAGTATCTTTAAGGCTATGAAAGGCAGTGTCCTGCCATCTTTATAACTTTCAGGTATACACCTTAATAACTTTTAGCTTGTATTTTACTGAAATTTGTCTGGTGAGGTTGTCTTTTTAAACTGACAAAACCTCTCAGTTGTCAAACTGCATTAGAGATCTTTCAGAAGGATAAAATTTTACTTGAGTTATTGATTAAAAAATAACAGAGAGCTTACTTGGTTGGCACCTAGAGTTACTCCTCAGGGTCCTCCATGGTCGCTGAGGGTCGTATTTGCCTTTTGCTGTTTAGCACAGGGCCTGCCAGACTCCAGAAGGTCCTGTGGGCTAAAACAAGCCTACCTTGACCTGAGCAACTAGGCTGTCAATTCTAGTGATTCTTCCCACTGTCTGGAGATCTTCAGTTTAGATGAAAGGTAGTTTTTCCCAGTGGTCAGTGCTTAGCAGTTAATGAAGTGAATTGAAGATAGACATTATTTTGTGCCCATTTGTCTTTTGTCTTCTTTGGAGGAAATAGAGTGCTATTGCTAGGAGCGAAGATGTCTCTGTTATGAAAAGTCCTTTAATAATTAAATATTTAAATGTCATATTCCCCAGATCTCTGAGCAGTTGAGGGCTGTTTACCGGGTATAAATGAGTTATAACTACAGTATAGAATCTGCCTGGAGAGCTGGGTCAAGCTTGACTGTACTGGCTCACAGCTTAACAGGTAAGATTTATACTTGTAAAAGACATAGAAGAAAAAACTGCTTGCAATAGAAGCTTAACATTAGAACTGTTAATAGTAGAGAACAGCTTAATATAACAACAAACATACATGCATTTAAGCCACATGTATGCACACACATAATAATACACACACAGGAATTGTGTGAAATGAATGATTCTGATGGACCCTACCAAAACCATGCCACTGCACAAAACATACATGTAAGAGAGACAGTAAGAGAAATTTAGAGACAAAAACATAACTAAACTGTGAGACTAGACAGAGAATACCTCAGTAAAGATGGTGGGACTTGGTCACCTGACCTGGCCCTCAGTTAAGATGTCAGTGAGGTCACCTGACCACAGTTTAAGATGGCAGTAAGGTCACCTGACCTCAGTCAAATTGGCGGTAGTCACATGTCGTGTGAAGAAGCTATGTTTTTTGAGCAGCGGGACTTTTAAATATAATAACAAGGGAGACAATCGAAGCTGTGTAGAACATACATTTAAAACAGAGTTACATCTGTGTAGCCACACCATTTACACATTCTTTCATATATGAAGTAGAGAGGAAAATTACTCAGCACCTTGATCTGCCCTGTTGCCTAGCCAAGGCTGGAACTGGAGACAACTGCCTCATGGATCCAACTAATCTTGTTGCTTTCTGTGGGAGCAATGGTAGTGGTGGCAGGGATAGACTAGTAGGAACGGGAGTGAGAGAAACAGAGCATTTACAGATGGGTAGGGAAGGGGCTGCCCGGTGAAAGGAAAAGCACAGGCTTGAGATGCTGGCAGGCAGGTGGGAATGAAACTGCTCAGGGAAAGGAAAGCCAAGATGGCAGGATGCCAGCAGAGTGTTTATAGTTTATAGGCAGGTGACTGATAGTTTAGCGGGTTTATTTTTCATAGCTGAACACGTGAAAGCAGCGAAAACAGAGTAGACCTCAAGGAAGGCAGGGGAATGTCTTCCCTCTGAGTGTGGGGTCAGTAGTTGAGGCCGTCCAGGGTAGTCTCTCACAATGGGGATCACTTATGAGCAGTCCAAAAGGATAAACAAAAAAACAAAACAAAACAAAAAGCCGAGGGGCCCCACGTCACAAAATAATGCAATGCTCAGTGTGTGCAGTGCCTGGGCAGCCAAGGTTGCTCAAATGGCAGGAGGACCACCCCGGGTGGTCTGGTCATGTTTCTAGCTTTGGGAAGCAACCAGAAGTGAACGTCAGCAAAAGCTGACTTGAAGAAGGGAACCTTACCATTTTCAGGGATGGCTCAAGCCCAGGGTCTTAACAGGCAGGAGGGAACGTGGAGGGAGCCTGGCAGAGTCACACAGCACCAATGTTATGGTTTAAAAAATGGCGGGTATCCTGAGCAGGGCTGTGGCGGGTGACCTGAGGCCACAGCAGAGCTGTCTTGGCTTCAGTGGGTGAGAAATGGATAGACATGCCATGCAGAGAGAGTTTGGGTATAGTTTATATAGTGGGTTATGAAAGGGAAGGGTGAGGGGGAGAGGGAGAGAGAGAGAGAGAGAGAGAGAGAGAGAGAGAGAGAGAGAAACAGAAAGGAGGAGAGAGAGATAGCAACCCCCTCTTCAGAAGAAGGACAGAGGGAGAGAGACCTAGTGGAAGAGGGGGAGTGGGCGGGGCTGGTCTCTTAAAGGGACAGGATACCCAGGTGACAGGACAAACCATTACAGTATGGCTACAACTCTCTAGACTGACATTTTCAGTTTTTCTCTTCTCTTCTTTTCTTTTTTAATCAACCAAAACTCAAACTACTCCTTTCCGGAAGACCTACAAGCTGACCGATATGTGATAGAACACCCATAGAAATTACCCTCAAAGTCCTGTCTGTGTAGCATTTGTGCCTACTGTCCATGAGCCGCTCAGGCAGTTCGTCAAAGCAGCCAATGCCATCACCAAAGGCGTTAAAACTCCACCCCAGGAATATAGAAGACAACTGCCATCCTTGTCTGCCACTGAAACGTGCCCTGGTTGTCCTGTGGACTCAAGGGTTGCTGTGTTTTAAAGCACTAATCTTTGCTTTTCTTCTGAGTCCATGTAAATCTCTGTCATTAAGTGCTTAGCCACACATGTAATCCAGCTATTGTGTGTGTGTGTGTGTGTGTGTGTGTGTGTGTGTGTGTGTTTCTTTTTTGTCTCCTTAGCTGGCTTGGCTGAGCTTTCTCAGTGAGTTCTGTATGGATTTAACAGAGAAAGAACCAAAGTGTTGTTATGCTTTGATGCTGGCAAAACCTGGGTTGTTTAATAAGAGATTGGGTATGGGCTTAGCCTCTGGGTACCTTGGGGGAAAGAGTTCTTTGTTTCGAAGGTCAATAGAGGTTAATAGTAGAGTATTAAAGGGTCAGCTCTAAGGGAGGAGCAGAAATATTTGCAGCCTCAGTTAAAGACTCAGCTGTGGATGTGTTTGCTATCTGAATGACAGTGGTCTCCCAACTCTAGTCTAAGTGTCGTAAACCAGTTCTAAGCCATTTGTCCTCCCCTACCCCCCAGTTTCCTTGTTAGTCTTGATTAGTAGGAGTAAGAGCTCTCTAAAATTACAAAAAGCTGCCTGCAGGCCTGTGTGGGAATTTCTAGCGAAGATTGACACCCTCCCAAAAGAAACCATCTTTTCCTGTCTGGATCTCTGGTCACCTATCTCAAGACCTGGAACCAAAGGAGATACTCATTAAACGCTACTTAAGTGGATTCCCTGAACACTAACTGATCAGTCTTCACAATCCTTCGACAGCAAGACTCAAAACGAGCTCGGGACAATTCGTAAGAGGCAAAGCATAGGAGAAAATGGAAAACAAAACAAGCCAACCCACAGAAAGCAAGCCAACCCCTAAACAAACAAAACCCAGAAACATTATTCCTATCAGGCCAAAGCTGCTCACTTACTGTGTTTTAGCCTGGGAAGGTTGGTTTCTATATCTTTAAATATGCATATGTTGCTGTTTCTGCCTCCCAGATCATGTCTCAGAGGCTCAGATTATCGGAGTAAATCTTCATTACCATCTTAAGTTAGAAAGGTCAGGAGTCAGTGGGTTAACTGACAATATACATATTAAAAGAACAAAAAAGACAAAATTTACTTACACATGCATGTAAAAAGCCAGGGAGAAGTCTTGATAAAAAGGATGGGGGTGGGGATGGGGTGGGTGATAAAGAGGGGCTGGGGATGGGTGATAAAGAGGGTGGGGTTGAGATGAGGTGGGTGATAAAGAGGCAGAGGAGGTGCAGTGGGATGGGTAGTTTCAATGCTTTCCAGAAATCATGGAAAGAGCCATTGGGCTTTTTTATGCTAATGGCATGGACGATTTTTCATGGTGGCCGATTTCACCGGGAATTCCCTGAGAATGGGGTTAATAGTGGTGGTGTTTTTCAGAGGGTCTGCTGCAGTAGGAAAAGTGAAGCCCAGATAAGATTCTTTCTGCACTTTTGTTGCTCTATATATTTTCACCTTAAAATAATTTTTATATAGCTAGTGTGAAGACCTGGATGGTTCTCCACAGTAGTGTGGCTCAGATTGCAGAGATCTATAAACTCCAGGTTTGAAGGAAATAACATGATGTAATGACTGTCTAAAAATGCAAAGTAAAGCAGCTGGTGTCAGCTAAGGGAGGCTGGAGTGAGGGATCACCTGAACCTGAGATTTGGAGACCAACCTGGAAGCACAGTGAGAAAAACAAGATATAGTCTCCATAAATGGGGCATAATGTTCTATTTCTCAAAAGCTTTATTCAAATGTAAACTTTCAAAAGCTGGATATCTTATTTTTGTCCAGAATAATGAGGTATGCATCCCAAAATGGACTGGAATATTTTTCTCTTCCTTCCTTTCTTCTGCCCTTCCTTCCTCCCTCTGACTCTCTGTCCCTCCTTCCCTCTCTCTTTTCCTTCTTCCCTTTCTTCCTCTCTTTCTCCTTCCCTTCCTTCCCCCACTCTCTTTCTCATTTCTTAACTCCTACCCTTCACCAAGTTGTTGAAATTGTTGATGGCAGAAAATCACTACTAAATCTAGGGCCAGACTGTCCATAACAACGTAATTATAAGCTTGTTGAGAACACTGACTTTTCCTCAGGAAAAGTGTTAGAAGTCTCCAGTCTAAGCTGAGGTGTGTGCACGTTTTAAAGAAAAATTTTCTTTGTTAAATATTAATCTTGTGAGACAGGATATTGTTATGGGGGCATTCCAAAATATTTGCCTTTAGTTTTACTGTTTGAAAAAATTTATTGAGTGCTATAGAAGAGAGCCTTTGGAAAAGGCTTATTACTGAAAGAACCGCAAGGTTGAATATTTCTTTTTCCAAAAGCAAAAAAACACGAAAACGGTGAGAATCCACACAAAGCCCACAAGACTTTGTACACAAGCAACCTGGTTCTAGTCATCTGCAACATAGTATTCCTGAAGCAGCCATCCTATGGACATTCCAGCAAAATGCCATGTGTTTTTGGCCCTGGAAATGTTAGTTTTACTATTTCCCCTCTATTTCTCATGCTGGAGTTCTTTAGTTTGTACACCAGTTTTAGATCAGTTCTGAAGTTTTATGGGATAAGGCTTGCTTGCCATTTTCCACCCCAGAAGTTACTTTATTTGAATACCAGGGTGTGTTTCTGCTTGCATACTGGCATAGACTATTGGAAAAATAAAAGTGTGAAATTCAATTTTATTGCTACCAGAAAATATTAGCCATAGGGTGGAAATGTGAGAAACCTCCCACTTTGCAAGAGGAAGCCAGAGTATCATCCAACTTCCCAATGAACTTTGGTTTTTCCTACTGGGCAAAGATAATATATGGAGCCGTAACAATGGCTGCTGTGAAAGGCTGGAGAATGATATCTAGACTCTTCTGGAAGCTACAATGCCAGTGACTGCTATAGACTGAGGAATGATGGGGAACCTCCTTTAGCCAATGGCCTTTGAGAAACCGGACCAGGTTGCTGTAGCCTTGGGTACCAAAAAGATGTAGGCCCGCCACTTGCTCTTTATTTTTTTCTCACCTGGATGTTGGGTTCAGTCCCTGTTCCCGGTTCGAACAGAAGCCTGTGATCTGTGAGTTCCACCTAAATTAAAAAAAAAAAACACAAACCTTTATTATACTCAATTCTAGTGTGGGATTATTTTTTTTGTGTTTGCCTTTATCTGGCCACCCAACGTGGGAATGAGTTCAAACTTATACCGGGACCAACCTAAAAGGTGAGCGAGTTTTGTAGACTCAGGGACCTCACTTAAAAAAAAAAAAAAGGTAAATTGAATGGGATAATAGGTAGATTAGTGTGAAGTTACTCACACTAATAATTCTAATAATAGTAATAGAGTGAATACTTGTGAGCTATTATTTATAGACAATTTACGTTGGTATAGATTCTTGTATATTGATACAAATTCAGATTATATTTGTTTATTGAATATATTCCTATTTCTGTTTACAACATTTGTACACTGAGGTAAAGTTATTTTGTCATATTGTATGCATGCATATTTTTACCTCTGCTTAAGACAGTTTGTATACTGATACAATTTTATCATATTGCATTATATGTTTTTAAATCTGATCAAGATACTTATATATTGTTTACATTTTGAGAACATTGTCCTCATTTCCTGCACCGTTGTTTAGAGATTGTTTAATATTCTAATATAAAGTTTTTGTCATTAAGTTATACAGGTATTAAGAATTATAGGTCAATAGTCATCCAGTTTGTCATACCTATAGTTAGAATATTCAGGTTCTTTAGATACATAGAGAGAGATTCTGCATAGATAAATAATCTTCAACTACTTCAAAGAACTGTAAAATGTGGCATTTAAATAACTTAGGGTTCTCTTGACAAGAGACATGATTGCTCCTAGCAGCACCAATCTATTCCTGAAAAAATGTTGAACACCAAAGACACTCCACTTGGAGCTTGTTTTCTTCTTGGCAAAACTGGCCGTTGGGCAAGAAACTGCCCATGCTCCAACCACTGACAAAATACAGTGTCCGGACTGGATAAACAAAATACAAAATAAAAAAGACTGCCAAACCTTGCCAAGATAGGGTAAGGTAGTTTTAAAAATTTTCCTGCCTCTGTTGGTTACTCTAGTGTAACATAAGGGGGCCGGCTTGTTGGGGTATCTGTCCCGCCCAGTACCCCACAGCCAGCAAGCCCCAAAGAAAACCACACGAAGTCTACATTAGGTTATAAAGCTGATTGGCCCATTAGGTCAGGCTACTTATTAGCTCTTATAACTTTTGTTACCCCATTATCCTTATCCGTGTTAGCCACAGGGCTCAGTACCTTTCTCAGCTGGGCAGGTTACATGCTGCCTCTTCAGTGGTCTGCACAGGAATGACAGAGGGAGCTTCCTGCGTCCCAGAATACTCCTAGTCTCTTTGCTCCACCCCTACTTCCTGTCTGGCTTTCCCGCCTATACTGCCTGCCTGGCCAATCAGTGTTTTATTAAAATATGATTGACAGAATATAGACAATTCTCCCATACCACTCTAGGCCTTAGCCAAAGTTGGTTGCTCCAATGTTGCAAATGAGACTTTGGGTGATTGCCCAGGTTGCCAGTTGTCTCTGTCATTTACTGCTCATTTTGAAAGCTACTTGATTGCACTTCCTGCCTATTCAAGTAATATTATCTCCCTTCTCAGGTCTTTGAGAAGATTGAAGACTAAATAGTCATAGTTACTTTCCTTATATGACTTCGCCAAGCTATTTTAAATATAAGACTTAGACTCTTTAGGATAAAATAATATGTTTAACATATATTTCTTGCTTAGTATTTTTATGCAGGTTGTAATTCTAATTTTTATACTTAATATCTGTTTTTATTGTATATAGTTTTATATTGGGTTTAGAACTCTCTTATTTAGACAAAAGGGGAAGGTGATGGGGAACCTCCTTCAGCCAATGGCCTTTGGGAGCTGGACCAGGTTGGGTATGACCTTGGGTACCAAAAATGTGTGGGCCTGCTAGCTTACTTTCTTTTCTCTCTCTCACCTGGATGCTGGGCTTGGTTCCTGTTCCTAGTTCAGATAGAGGTCTGTGATCTGTGAGTTTCCCCTAAATAAAAAAAAAACCCTTTATTACACTCAATGTTGAGCTAGTATGGGATTATTTTATTTGTGTTTGCCTTCAGAGTAATCTCAGACTTCTAGTTGTATGCAGAGCTATAGCTTTTCCAGAGCTAAGGGCCCTAATACCAGAGGCTAGATGAGGACTTTGACATTAGAGAACACAATATGTCTTTGTTCTGACCTCCTGTACCTACCATCTACTGTCTAATATTGAGGGAAGCAAAAGTTGCTAAAGAACCACTCTGCCTACCTATGACTTCTATATGGGTATAGCCATAGGATCCCAGACAACTGATTGGCAAGAGATAAATTTTAAATTTCATTTGTTATGTTTTATGTTCAACTTATAGAAGTTTTTGGAAATATTTTTGTATTAAAATGTGCTCCAAAGTCAATTATATTGTATAGCTTATAATAAAAAAATAGTATCAATATGTGAGGTAACAATGATAAAGTTGAATGTAGTTATAAGGGGAATTAAGGTTGCAAATCAGCTGACTTTACAATAGGGAGAGTGTCTGAGATTATTCATGTTGTCCCAGTGTCATCAGCAGGCTCCTAAAAAGTGACATTGGACACCAGAAGATAACATGCCGGAGAGATGGTGGAGAAGGACTTCACCAGCTGGTGTTGGCCTGGAATATGAGGAAGAGTCAGGAGCCAAGCAAAGTGGGCAGCCTGTAGAAGACAAGAAAGGCAAGAGACTATCCATGAACCAGGGAAGGTGGGTAGTCAGTGGAAGCTGAGAAAGGCAAGAGAAGATAGTCTACATCTCGCTGAAAACCTTGATTTGTGAACTGCAAGATATGTTTTTCAAATCACGAAGTTTGTGGTAACTTGCTACAACATTAGCAAATTAATAGAAAGCTATATTGAGCACATTTTCTTATTTCTATCTCTTCTGCACTATTTTTCTTCTCAAAAATAGTAACTTTAAATTTTTATTGTTTATCTTTAATATTTTTCAATGAATATACATATGCATTTCCCTCCTGTGTAGATAAATGATAGCATATTATACCTTCCAGGATAGTGTGTGTCTCTGAAGAAAGTACATATAGAACATATATGTGTAAAAGGGGGTTCATGAGAGTGCCACATCACACAATCACAGGGACTGAAAACCTATACAACATAAGTATGTAAAAGGTGTGCATGAGAGGTACACTGCCTCACACAATGACTAGGGCTGAAAACTTCCACGAGTCAGAGAAGCCACGGGCTTATTCTAACAAGATAAAAGCCTTAGAACCAGGGAGGCCAGCGATGAGTCCTAGTCTTTTATTGAGGCTCAAGAGTCCATGGAAGATGCTTGGTGCCAGTCACAGATCCCCAGACCCAAAGAGCATGGAGTCTGATGTCTGAGGTCAGCAGCAGGAGAAATTTAGCCTACTCTGGAAGGAAAAACAAAAATGCTTCTTTCTCCTTCCATTTTCTTGGTCCATGTGGGTCAACAACTGGGTGGATGCTGTTTGCTCACAAGGAGAGCCAGTCTTCCCCACACACACGCTGGTACCCTCTGGAAAAACACTGTCACAGACACAACTGGAAGTCATGCTTTACCAGTCCTCGAAGCACTCCTTCCTCAAGTCCAGCTGACACCCACAAATAGCCAGTCACACCTACTTTTCTCTACCTTTTTCTCACTAAGCAATAAACTCTAGGGACCATTCCATAGCACTACCTGACTTAGCCAGGTAGGGCTGTGGGATCTGTTGTCAAACTGAAGAGGTCTAGAATCAGCCTGTGGGCATGCTTGTGTCTGCTGCCATGACTCCCCAAAATACTATGAAGGACTGTACCCTGGGGTGTGAGCCAAAATAAAACCCTTCTTTAAGTTGATTTATGTAAGGGTGTTTTATTATAGCAACAGAGATGTAACTGGGATAGACTATCATAACAAAACACTATAGACTGAGTGACTTACACAACACCTATTTATTTCTCTACAAGTCCAATATCAAAGTGCCTGCAGATTCAGTTTTCATGAAGGTCTGCCTTCTGTCTTATAGAGGATATTGTGAGGTGTCATCCAGATGTTTCTTTGTATGGTGGGGATGAAAAAGCTAATTTCTCATCCTCGTTTTATTAGGATATTTCCATCTGCGGTCTCATCCCTCATTACCTCCTCTGAACCTAATTTACTCCCAAATATGTAATCTCCAAATACCATTATATCAGGAGTTAAAGCTTTAACATGAATTTGGGTGAAATACATATATTCAGTCCCTAGCCACTACAATGCTTATAGTTCCTTTCGAGCACCACATAGTACTTCAATATGTTTCATTTTTGGTATTAAAATATTCCAGTATGGAATCATTTTTTGCAATGTCTTTTTATTCTATGTTAATGTGTCACAGGATAGATCATAGAGGTAGGACCACTAATCCAAAGGCTTTCAAGTGAGAGTGTGTGTGAGATACCACTAAATATCTATCAAAAACTTCATTTGCCTTACTAGCAATGTGTTTGCTGTTTCCTCATATAGCTGTTGGTCTTTGGGGTGTTTGCTAATAAGAACAACTAATTTTTTATTGTTATGAAGGGCATATAATATGAAATACACCCTCTTAGCAAATTTTGAAAGTATCCAGAGTTTTATTAACTATACATTTTGTACATAGTAGATATGTAGGTAATTTTCACCTTGGATGAATGAAATTACATATTTGTGGAATAATAATTCCCTATTTCCTATTTCTTCTGCCCCTTGACAATGGTCACTGTAACTTTTTATATTTATGGGTTTGACTACTAGAAACCTTATTGAAAAAAGTAACATAGTATTTGTCCTCCTGTGACTGGCTTATTTCATTTATCATAATGTTCTCCAGCTCATTTCTGTTGTACCATGTGTTCTACCATGTTGTGTACTGTTTATTCCTTTTTCTTTTCTTTTTTTACTCTTTGCTCCTTAGTTTTCTTGGGGGAGGGGCTCCACCCAGCTCCCAAATAAACCATACACAGAGGTTTATTCTTAGGAGCGCCCAGCCTTAGCTTGACTTGTTTCTAGTCAGTTTTTCTTAACTTTAAATTATCCAGGCTACCTTTTGCCTCTGGGCTTTTTCCTTTTTTACTTCTGTATATCTTACTTTCATACTTACTCTGTGGCTGTCTGGGTGGCTGTGTGGCTGGCCCCTGACATACTCCTCCCCTTATTTTCTTGTTGCTTACTCCTCTTCCTCATTTCTCCTTCTATTTATTCTCTCTGCCAGCCAGCCAGCCAGCCCGCCCCACCTATCATTGCTCCTGCCTTGCTTTTGGCCATTCAGCTCTTTATTAGACCAGCATATGTTTTAGACAGGCAAAGAATCACAGCTTCACGGAATTCAACAAATGCAGCATAAAAAAAAGCAACACATCTTTACATCATTAAACAAATGTCCCACAGTGCAAACAAAAGTAACACACCTTAAAATAATAGTCTCCAACAGTACCATATATACTGCTTCCTTCTTTTTCAAGACTGAAAAGTAGTCTATTCTGTAGACACAGTATTCTGCACATTCTTTATCTGGTCATCCTCTAGTGGATATTTATGTCACTTTCCTGTCTTGATTACTGTGACGAATGCTTGAGTGAATATGATACTATTAATGTATCTTCAAGTCTTATTTTCAATTCTTTTGGATAGATACCCAGGAATGGGTTTATTGGATTGTATGATAATTCTATTTTTAATTGTTTGAGGAACCTCCATGCAAATATGTATAGCAACTGTACAATGTTTTATTCTACCAGTTGCACACGTGTTCCAGTTTTTCTCTTTTCCACACCCAAAAAAAACCAACCAAACAAACAAGCATGTATTCCCTTGTCTCAGTCTCCTGACTCATCACAGGAATGCTGGAATTACAGAGGCCCACTACCATGTCTGTCTTTGTGTAGATTCTAGGATCCTGAACTTAGGACCATATGCTTGCATGGCAGATGCTTTACTTTTTGACTCATTGCTCCATCTCCATGTTCAGTATCTTTATTTATCTTATTCAACATCCGTTGACTATTTTCTCTCCTTTGGACAAGTTTTTTTCAACTATTTGTTTTATTTTTTAATGTTTTTTCCCATTATGAGTTGTGGGAATTTCTTACATGTTTTGAATATTAACCTGTAAGTGGATATGAAGCTCTTCTTTTGTCCCGACCACCTGGTACCAAATAATCAAACAAAAGTTTATATTAATTGTGAAATGTTTGTCCTATAGCCAGGCTTATTATTAATTAGCTCTTACAACTTAAACAAATTCATTTCTATTCATCTATATCTTGTTACATGGCTTGGGGCTTTACCTGTCCTCTAGTATCTTGCTATCTGGAGGCTCATCTCTCTTTCTCACTTCACCACTCTTTTTCTTTGTATTTTGTTTGACTTTCCTATTTGGTGGTGTGGGGATTTATTCTGAGTTAAGAAAAATCAGGTTTGATGAAGGAAGACCACCTGAGAAATCTGCAATAGGAGCTGATGGCCCAGATGTCTAAGTTCTACATCCAGAACAGATTCAAGACTGCTGCCTGAGATAATCAAACCTCACAGGATACTCCAGTCATGACTTGATCATAATTCTAAATTTTCTTTAGGTACCCATAAGATTATTAGCACCCCCAACCATCAGGAAGTAGCCTGCAATACTACACCCACATTCCCAAAAAAATGGACTATGGATATTTTTCTTTGTTTAGAATGTAGGTGTCTAGTTGTTATGGATAATGGTCAGGAGAAAGGATAAACAAAGGATATTAGATTCAGAGTTCTTGTTTTTTTTTTTAAAGAGGGGGAAGTGGTGTGGGAAAATGGTCTATAGTCTGTCAATTATATTTTAAATAAATGCTGATTGGCCAGTAGCCAGGCAGGAAGTATAGGCAGGACAACCAGACATGAAGTAGAGGTGGGCGACAAGAACAGGAGAATTCTGAGAAGAAGGAAGTTCCTTCTGCATTCGTGACAAGGTCACAGAAGAAGCAAGATGTGACTGCCTCGCTGAAAAAGGTACTGAGCCATGTGGCTAACACAGATAAGAATAATAGGCTAATATAAGTTATAAGAATTGATAAGAAGTCTGAGACAATGGGCCAATCAGTTTATAGCTAATATAGACTTCTGTGTGATTTCTTTGAGACTTAGCAATTGCGGGAACCAGGCATGACAGAAAACCCCAACAACAATTTAGCACATTCTGTCTTGCTATAGGCCAAATCAGTTTTATTATTAACCAGTAACAGCAATACTTATTTACAGCATACAGAAGGATTATCCCACAGCATTAATCTCTTATCAAATGTACAATTGCAAATGTTTTTGCTCAGTCATAAGATTAGTTTTATTGTGTTGCGCATTTCATTTGCCATATGAAGTATTTGGTCCCATTGTCAAGGTCAGCATCCTGAAGCTTTCCTGTTGTGTGTTTTTTTTTAAAATAAATATGTTCATTTCAGGTCTTTGATAAACTTTGAGTTTGATTTTTGGATCCACTTTTCTTATTTTGCAGGTGGATATTCGATTTTATCATCACAATTTGTTAAAAGACTACTGATTCCTCATTGAATGAAGAATGTCTCACTCTGGTCCCCATTTCACATGATGTTCTTCCTGTGTTCTTTGTTTATTTATTTTTTGTCATTGTGATTACAATGATAATTTAGATTAAGTACATAACCTACTCCATCATAGCTTTATCTTAATTATGTCTGAAAAAATCTATTTCTAAATAAGGCAACATCTGG